GTGGTGCTGCCAAATCGCTCTTTGTCTCCCAGGCCCTTCTTATCTAAAGAAAACGAGGCCTCCGGTGTCCAGGGAAAGAGATTAAGGGTGAAACTGAGTCCTTAGAGAGGAGGGGCTCCATGAACTCGTGGGGAGCACGGGCGGGGGAAGGGCGCGGCTTGGGCGGCCACCCCAGGCAGGGGCCAGCACCCATTACACCGTGTCCTGGGATCCCCTCGCCACGGCACCCGGGACGGTTAGTGGGCGGCCTCTAGTTCCCTGCCCGGGCCGGCCTCAGCTCAGGTCCACCAGCAGAGGGCGATGCTGCCAGACGCCCCTGGCTGCCCTGCTCTGGGCAGGTGGCCTTCCCTCCCCACCCTCCCTCTCTCCTGGGCGGCCCTGTACTCACTATGCAGCCTCCTCGTCCTCCATCCCGTAGTTCCTGATATTCGTGGCGGCCGTGACCCCGCAGATGATGAATGGGACCCCTCCACTGACGAGGTAGAACCTGCCGGAGAGTGGAAGGTGCTGAGCCCCCTGGCCCGAGTCCTCCCAGAAGGACAGCGCCATCCTTCCTGCCTTCCTTGGGAGGTGCCTGGTGTCCTGGGCCGAGCCCGTCTGCATCGGGCCAGCACCAACCCCCACCAAGGAGCCCAGGGCCACGGTGAGGACCCTGGCCAGGCCCTGCAAAGGTGGGGCCTTGGGCGTGTTCCGTTCCCGCTGCAGACTCAGCAGGGACAACAGGAAGCCCCCGGTGGAGGTGGCACAGGTACTGGGGGCATGTGCCCCCACGGTGTGAGGACAGGAACCCAGAGGATGCTGAGTTGGGTCACTTGGCCCTTCACGGCGGAGATGATCTTCCCACCAGGGTCCCCAGGTTACACCCCCTCCTCCCCAAGGGCAGCCTGTGTCCAGCAACCAGCCAGCACATGGGTTTTGAGACCAGACTCATAGCCTCAGAGTGAGACACTTGGAGGGCCTGTCCAAGTCGGACCCGTGGAGACTTGCTGTGTTCAGCTGCTTGGGGGCAAGCTGCTGGCATTTGACCTCATGCCCTGGAGGGACACTATTCATCCTGGCGGGAGTTGGCCTACGGTGCAGGCATGGGCCGACTTCCCTCCACGGAGCCTGAGCTAACAGCTCCATCTGAGAGCGTTCAACCCTGGGCTCGCGATGTCATGTATCTGAGGACCTGGAGCTGCGCCAAGCTCGCGCACCTGTGCACAGAACATGCAGCATGCTGGCCTGTCACAGGTGCCACCACCCACAGCTACCAGCCCTGCGGAGCCGTGGTGGCCTCTGGAAGGGGCGGCCAAGGGGCCAGCTCAGAGACGATGCCTCGTGAGCAGAGGCGCTGTCCTCCTGGGTGTTGCAGACTCCTCACATCAGCAACGTGGCTCATGGCCCCAACATGGGCAACACGGCCCCAGATCCCAGGTGGCAGTAGGGTGGCTCCTCTTAGGGTCACTTTCCGTGACCCCCCAGCAATCTGTGCTTCCCAGAATTCTATATCCCAAGAAAATATCCTTCAAGAAGAAAGGTGAAATAAAGACACTTTCTGATAAAAATAAGACAAAGAGAATTTGCCATCAGACAACCTGTACTTCAAGAAATGCTACGTGAAACTCTCCAGGTTGGAGGGATCCAGAGGGGAACTCGGATCATCGGAACGGAGTGAGGAACACAAGAAATGCTAATTATTGACATAAATATAAAAGATTGTTTCCACTTAATCCCTTTGAAATATATGTGACTGTTTAAAGAACGAATTTGAAGATTGCCTTGTGGAATTTGTAATATATTAATATCTAGAACAGAAGCACTGTAAGTAAAAGACAGAGATAGGTTGAAAGCAAACGGATAGAGAAGGCCGTGCCGACTGTGAGCCCAGGAAGGCTGGAGTGGCCTCGTTAACACCAGAGAAAGACTTTAGTAGAGCAGCATGTCCAATGACATCAGGCAGACAGCACAGCCTGAGAAGGGATTCAAAATACATGACCCCTGGCCAGACGCGGTGGCTCACGCCTGTAATCCCAGCACTCTGGGAGGCAGAGGCAGGAGGATTACTTGAGCTCAGGAGTTCAAGACCAGTCTGAGCAAGGATGAGAGCCCGTCTCTACTAAAAATAGAAAGAAATTAGCTGGACAACTAAAAATATATAGAAAAAATTAGCCGGGCACGGTGGTGCATGGCTGTAGTCCCAGCTACTTGGGAGGCTGAGGCAAGGATCGCTTGAGCCCAGGAGTCTGAGGTTGCTGTGAGCTAGGCTGATGCCACGGCACTCTAGCTGGGGTGACAGAGTGAGACTGTGTCTCTAAAAAAAAAAACAAAAAGCTCAAAATTGACAAAATTAAAAGAGAAACAGATAATTGCAAAATCATAGCTGGTGATTCTGACACCCCTCTCTTAGCAATTGCTAGAACGACTAGACAGGATTCAGTAAAGAAATAAGGATGTGAACAGTAGCATTGACCACTTTGAGTTAATTGCTCCGTATAGAACATCCACACATTCTTTTCAAGCACACGCTCTACTCACCATGGTAGAAGGTATCATGCACCACGGAACAGATCTCAATAACTTTAAAAGGATTGGAGTCACACAGTATGTTCTCTGATGACAATTAGATTACATGAAAAATTAACAAGATTACTAGGAAAACTCAATTATTTGTAGATCTAACAACACACTTGTAAATGATCATGGAGCAAGAAGGAAATCCCAAGGGAATTTAGAAAAGATTTAAAAAAATGATAAAATACAACATAATCAAGATTTCTGGATGCAGCTAAGCAGGTCATAGAGGGAAATTTATAGCTTTGAATGCTTTTTACTAGAAAAAAAGAAAGATCTAAAATTTAGTGATCTAAGATTCCAGCTTAACAAAGTAGAAAAATAAAAGGTCAAAGAAGGCACCACGTAACTGGAGGAAGGAGATAATAAAGATAAATGCAGAAATAAATACAGAAAACAAAGCACAGTTAAAATTATCAAAGCCAAAAGTTGATTTTCTGGAAAAAAAAATCAACAAAACTATAAACTCTTAGCTAGACTGAACGAGGAAAAAGAGAAGACAAATTCTCAGTCTGTAGCAAAAAAGAGGGTTATCACTGTATCCACAGAGAATAAGAGAACAGCAAGTCTATCTTACAAATAACTGAATGCCAAAAGACGCAGCAACTTCGATGAAATGGATAAATTCCTTGAAAAATACCAATTGCCAAAATTAAAACAAAAAGAATTGGAAAATTGGAATGTCCCATATTTATCAAAAAAGTGAATTCAGTACTTAAAAACGTCTAACAGACAAGCTCACAAGTAGGTTTGACCACACGTCTAAGGAGGATATAACACCGATCTTACATAAGCTCTTCCAGACAGTGAAAGAAGAGGGAACATCTCCTAACTCCTTTTACGAGGCCAGCGAGACCCTCACGCCAAAGCCAGACATTAAAAAAAGGTCAGTTACCTTGTGTTATCCCTCATGAACACAGACAGCGTAACCACGTACTAGCACGTGATATCTAGGAGCTTTATGAAAAAGATGGAAACATCACGGCCATGTAAGATTTATCTAAAAAAATGCAAAATTAGTTTTGCTATTCATAAAAATCAGTCAGCATAGCTCATCACGTAAACCCAGAGAGGAGAACACAACACGATTGTTTTAATCGAGGCGGTGAAGGTTTCCACCAAGTTAAATAAGCATCCATTATGGAAACATCTCAGCACCTGGGCATGGAGGCCACGCCCTCGATTTGCAGCTAGTGTCAGGCTTAATGCGGAACAACTGGATGTTTTCCTTCTAAGATCAAAAACAGCTTGAGGACGCCCCGCTGCTGCGCAGCGTTGAGGGCGTTTGTCACGAGGCGAGCAAAAGAAGTAAAGGCAGCCAATGAGAGAGGAAGAAAACACGTTTCTATTTGCAGAGGACGTGACTGATCACGTAGAACATTCGGTAGAGTCTGCAGAACAGCTACTGGAACTACGGAGTGCGGGCGCTCAGAGAGCCTTGGGGTGGAGCAGCGCGGACCAGATGGCTCGTGGAGGGACAAGCTGGGAGCCCGGGGCTGGCCCGTGCTCACGGCACTTGATCTGGGGCAAAGGGCTGGGCGGGGGGGGACAGGCCGTCCGCAAAGGGGGGCGTGTGAGCGCTTGCACACGCGATTGTGCCCCAGTTCCTGTGTCCCCACCACGGCCAGGTCCTAGTCTTGGACCTGTGAGTGTCGCCTCCCCTAGCAAAAGGGGCTTTGCAGATGGGGTTGGGGGAGGGGTCTCGAGACGGGAGACTGTCCCGTGTCATCTCGCCTGATGTCGTCACAGGGTCCTGATAAGACAAAGGTCAAGGTGGAGAGAGGACCCCAGGCAGCTGGCTTTCAGGGTGGAGGGGGCCCAGCCGGAGTGCAGGCGGCCCGGGCTGTCCCCGTGCTGGACGGATGCGGCCCCCAGGGGAGCCGGCCCTGACGCTGGATTCCTAGTGTGCAGACGGTGAGATGCTGCAGGTGCGTTGTTTGAAGTCACGGATCGTGCGGGATTTTTACAGCAGCTGTGGGAAACCCGGTGCGGCCCCAACCACACGCCACTCATGGGAGGGGATCCGGGTGGATCTGGGGCTGAAGTGACAGAGCTGACCGCAAAGTGGGGGCGGATTCCCCAAGCGAGATGCAGGCCCCGAGCACGGGCCGCCGTCAGGGGCTCCTGCTTGGCTGAGAAGGGCCCGCACCTGCAGCGCAGAGGCCGCTACGCACAGCGGGACGTCGGCGACTCCGACCTCGGTCAGAAGCAGCCGGTGACCCGCGAGAAAGATGGGAAGGGACCCCGCAGGCACCTCACGGGGAAAACTCAGGCGCAGGAGGGGCTGCAATGCTCCTGGGATCCCTGGGGAGACCCAGCGCCCCGCGGGCCGGCGTGGAGGGTGGGCCCGAGAGGACCCGCAGGGCGCTGTGGGGACGTGAAAGCTGGAGCCTCTGCGGCCATCGGAGCGCTGGTCGTCAACCCAGCCTGTGACCTACAGCTTCGTGCAAGCACGTGGGGACCGCGGAGAGATGGCGTGCGGGGAAGGCGGCCAGATTCCAGACACGGTGACCGTCCCGCATGCGCAGCGCGGGGTGGAGTCTAGGAGGTGTCGCGGGCGCCAGCCGTGGGGACCGACAGCGGGGTGAGAGCCCGGCAGGGCGGCTGGGCGTGGGCCGCCCCCACCTGCTCCCTCACCTGCAGGTCTCCGCACAGTGTCCTGAGCCGCACCGGCGTTCTAGCATTTTCTTGTGTAGGTATTCCACGACACACCAAAAAAAGGTTAAACTGAAAAAAGTATTTAAAAAAGAAAAGGAAAGAAGACAAAGGACCAACTTGTGGTGGGGCAAGCTTCGCAGAGGAGGGGGCTGGCCCACCCACTGCACCCATCAGCCGCTGTCCCCTGTGCCACACCTGGGTGGTCCCCAGACCCCATGACCCGGCGCAGTTGACTGGAGCCGGCGTCCAGTCCGAATGGACCAGCTCGAGGACGTG